TATGATATTTTGGCTTGTTGAAGACAAATTTTAGTTCATACATGATATAGTTTACCAAATTTGAATAGTATCTTCTAAAATGAAATTATTCTAATTGTTATTTGTTTTTGAAAGTTGAAGAACAAATCAAGAAAATAGTGCTAATCTGATTAGTACATGATTATTAGGAGGCCTGGTGGTGAAATGGTTAAGAGCTCGGCTGCTAACTGAAACCCTGGTGGTTTGAACTCACCAAGCTGCTCTTCGGAAGAAAGACATGGCAATCTGCTTCTGTAAAGATTACAGCCTAGAAAACTCTATTAGGCCGTCCTACTCTGTCACATGGTGTCACTATAAATCAGAATCGACTTGATGGCACCCAACAACAACACATGATGATTACTGAAAATCATTTTGTTCCATAGAGGAGGAAGAGGACGTTAAAAAATGATTTGCTCTGGTGGCAGACACTCTGGATATGCCACTGTATGGGAGGGACTTTAGAGAGAATACAGCCCAAGTTCCTCAATTTACAGCTGTCTAAAGGGAAGCCTATAAGGCACTGGTGCTTCCCACATGGGAGACCCAGGTTTGATTCCAGGCCAATGCATTTCATGCACAGCCACCACCCATTTGTCAATGGAGGCTTGCATGTTGCTATGATGTTAAACAGGTTTCAGCAGAGTTTCCAGACTAAGACGGACTAGAAGGAAGGCCTGGGTGATCTACTTCTGAAAATCAGCCAATGAAAGCCCTATGGCTCATAATAGAACATTGTCTAATCTGCAACCGATCATGGGAATGGTGTAGGACCACGCAGCATTTCGTTCCATTATGTGTGGGGTCACCATGAGTTGTGGCCAACTCATCAGGCAACTAAAAACAACAAGGGGAAGCCCAGGGAAGTGAAGGTGCCCGAGATCACCCAGCTAGTCAGTAGCAAAGAGAACTAGATGAAAGTCTCCTAACCAGTGCTGGACAATTGTTTCTATCATCTATTCCCAAGCTACTTCCAAGCTATAATGTCAGTGCTTCTCCAGCTGTGATAAAGAAGCAAATTTTTAAATGTTCCAATCTGCCAAAGGTTGACACTGGTACATAGCTCAGGCCACTTGCACCTCATAAGTGTTCTTACCACCCAAACGGTCTCTGCCCTGTTCAAGGAGACAAGCCCCCGGTCACACACTTCGATACAGCAGCAATGTCAAGTTGCCACAAAGGTTTCTAAACATTTACTCTCAACTTCTGTTCCCATCTTGTTACAAACTGGTAACAGTTTGCACACCGGCTTTGTGTAGCCCTGTACCACACCATATAGAGTCCACAGCAAAGACTTATGACCAGGAAAACATGACTGGATATTTATACATGCAAATGTTTAGCTTTGAGGTTGCTTCGTCTTTGTTTAATTCCTGTACATATTACATGACAGTTAAGTGCACAGGTTTGAATCTTGAATCTATCACTACTAGCTGTGTGGCTCTGGGCAAGTTTCTAAACCTCTCTGAACATGAGTTTCCTCATCCATAGGACAAGGTAACATTAGTTCCTAGCTTAAAGGAAGCTAGGAATGTAATGTGTGTGTAAGGAGCCTGGGTGGCACAAATGGTATGCACTTAACTACTAACCTAAAGGTTGGGGATTCAAGCCTGGTGATCAGCTTCCGTAAAGATTACACCCAGTAAACCCTAAGGAGCAGTTCTACTCTGTAACACATCGGGTAGCCATGAGTGAGAATCGACTCAACAGCAATGGGTTTGGTTTCGGGTTTAATGTGGGTGAAAACACTAGGATGTTTAACACATAGTAAGCACATTAGCTTTCATAAGTGTTATTAACCACTCTTCTTTTTTGGTTGGGGGGATGCAGATTATGTGTTGTTGAAGAGCTACCATTAAGGCAGCACCAGGTAGAAATAACACTGAACCAGTAGTCAGAGTTGTGGGCTCTGGCCCTGTTTTCTGATGCCCTGGGATAAGTCACTATGCCACATGTGCATTGGACAAGCAATAATGGGGCACAGCCTGGCACTGGGTGCTGGTTGAGAAATGGTCCCTGCCCTCAAGATTCTCACATTACAGAGGTGGAAGCAGACAGAGACACTGATACCACGCATCAGAGCTGTCCCAGGGGTTGAAGCCGAGTGTAGAGAAGCCCCAACTAGCTCCTATGGTCATGCGTGAGCCTCTCCTCTTGTGGCTCTGAGTCTGAGCCCACAGAGTAAGCCCGAGTTAGACTAGTGTTGGAGGGGAACACCATTCCCTTCTTTGCTTTCCTTGAGGAGAGATTTTTCTTAAGGATACTCCTGCCTTTCGTGGACATTTTCTCTCTTCTGGTGTGATTTGTCTGGCTAGCACATCTGGGAAAATGACCGGGTGTGCCCTGTTTAGCTGTCCCCTCTTCTTCTTCGGCGTTATTGCTGGCAGGACAGGCCTTTGGTGCTGAGCTTCCAGGGGCCGGCTCCTCCTTGCCCTGTGGCCATGTGGGGAGCCATCCCGGGCCAGCTCTACCCGCAACCAGGCAGGGGAATTGGCCTATTCTGGGTTTCAGTTAGCAGTCCTATTTGCCCATTGTCATGGATTGAATTGTGTCCCCCAAAAATATCTGTCAACTTGGCTAGGCCATGATTCCCAGTATTGTATGATTGTCCACCATTTTATCATCTGATGTGATTTCCCTATGTGTTAAAAATGCTATCACTGTGATATAATAAGATGGATCAGCGGCAATTATATTGATGAGGTCTACAAGATTAAGTAGTGTCTTAAGTCAATCTCTTTTGAGATATAAAAGAGAGAAGTGAGCAGAGAGACATGGGGACCTCATACCACCAAGAAAGCAGTGCTGGGAGCAGAGCACGCCCTTTGGATCTGACGTTCCTGCACTGAGATGCTCCTAGACTGTGAGAGAATAAATTTCTCTTTGTTAAAGCCATCCACTTGTGATATTTCTGTTACAGCAGCACTAGATGACTAAGACACACATCCTACTGAATTATGGTGTTGGCAAAGAATACTGAATATACACCATGGACTGCCAGAAAAACGAACAAATCTGTCTTGGAAGAAGTACAGCCAGAATGCTCCTTAGAAGTGAGGAAGATTAGACTTTGTCTCACATACTTTGGGCATGTTATCAGGAGGGCGCAGTTCCTGGAGAAGGACATCATGCTTGGTAAAGTAGAGGATCAACGGAAAAGAGGTGCAGGACCATGCAATGTTTCGTTCTGTTGTACACAGGGTCACTATGAGTCAGAACCAACTCGATGGCACCTAACTACAACTGAGCTACATCCTCCTTTTTGTTGTTGTTAGCTGCTGTCCAGTTGATTCCAACTCATAGTGACACCCTCCTAATTCACCTTTATTAGTAATAAAAGATTATATATTTTTGGCACCTTCTGCCAGATACTCTATTTCTCAATATGTTTAGAACTTGGTCAGGATAGAGGGGGACGATTTCAAGGTCCCCTCAGAGACCTCAACAGTTAGGCATTATATTTCACTAGATGGACAAGTCCCTTGCGGGCAGGACCCACGATTATCTAGTCATTGCTGTATCTCCTACCCGTGACACATATGGTGGTTGTTCACTGACGTTGGTTAAATGACTTAACCATTTCTTCTGGGGGTGGGAGGCAGAAGGGGAGTCCCTAAGTGGTGCAAATGGTTAATGTGCTCAGCTGCTAACCAAAAGGTTGGAAGTTCAAGTCCACCCAGAGATGCTTTGGAAAAAAGGCTTGGCGATATACTTCCAAAAAATCATCATTGAAAAACCCTATGCTGGATACCCTTCTAACTCAGACCTGAAGACACTCCCAAAGGTCACCTTTCAGCCAAAGATTAGGCAGACCTATAAGACAAACAACACCACACGTGAGGAATGTGCTTCTTAGATCAATCAAGTGTACGAGATCAAATGGGCAACACTTGCCCAGAAACACAGACGAGAAGGTGGGAGAGGCCAGGAAACCGGACACGGTGAACCCCGGGCGAAAAGGGAAAGGGGGAGAGTGCCAACACAATGCGGAGTTGCAACCAGTGCCGTGAAACAATTTGTGTATAAATTTTTGAATAAGAAACTAACTTGCTCTGTGAACTTTCACCTAAATCACAATTAAAAAGAAACTAAAAAAGAAAAAGGGAAAACCCCATGGAGCACAGTTCCACTCTGACACACACGTGAACTGGAATCGACTGGACAGCAACTGGTTCTGCTGTGGGGGAGGAGGGGACAGCAGAGAGGAACAGGAGAAGCTGCGGAGAAGGGTAGACATTTTATTCAGGCTTTGAAGGATCAGAAGGAATCTGCCATATAGACAAGGTACAAACAGGCACTCTAAGGCGAATGCCCCAGGATGGGGCATGTTCTGTGACAATAAATACGTCCCCATCTTTCTCATCTGTAGAAACTGCCCTTGCCTCCCTCACAGGGTCCTTGGGAGTGTCAGGTGACATACTGGAGGCAGAAATGTTTTGAAAACTATAAAGCACTGTACAAATTATTACATAGCACTCAGCACGAACACTGACTGTCAGCAGAGAGGGTTAGAACAAATTATTTTCAAGTTGATGAATTCTTTTAATCTCTTACAAACAGCAGTATCCCATAAATGGTTTTCATTAATGTCCAGCGGCCACAGTGTAACCACCGAGTTTCTTGTCTCTTACTAAAACATCAACAAAACAGAATCCAGCTTGCCTTTGTGGAAGTGTTAAAAATGCTATTTTAGGAAAGAACAATAGAAAAACAGTGTTGTCAGTTTGACATTCCTTGCCAAGATTTTTTCAGACTGCTGATGTCTATACGCAAACAATACATTTAGAAACCAAATGGGTTCCTGTGCCTTATGAATTTCTTTCTTCTGCCTGATTTGCATAGAGGGGAGGCTGGTGGAAAATGTACTGCCAATCAAACTTCAATTGTAATGAAACAATGAAGCATTTTTGACTGTAGATGGGTATTTAAATAATCATGAAAGCAGCAGCTGGCTCCTCTTTCTCTTTTGTCCAATTAGGGGCTGCTTTCTCTGCGAGGAATACTCAAAGACCACCATACCTTGATCCTCCATGTGTCAAAAGTCAGCCTAAAGATTGACTTCTGAGCATCCAGCACCCTGAAAAGAAGACACGACACATTTATTTTTCTGTCTGGATGTGACACCACGTCAGAGACAGGTTGCTAGCTTTGAGCAGAAATCTTATTTCATCTCTGGCATGTATGTGAGGGCTGTTTCTTCTAGGAATTGAACAGGATGGTACCGGCTGAGGTAAGTACCCAGTATAGCCAGCTGCTGTCAGCAAACAAAGGGTCTCGGTGGGAAGGGCGAGAGAAAGAGTGCGTTAGGGCAAAGAGGCTCAGCATTGCCACAGACCAGTGGCTCTGGGAAAAGAGCAGCTCTGTAAATAACCCACTTGCAGACAGTTTAGATGCTTTGAACAGCCCATGTGCAGAAATCATCCAATGGGGCAAACTGCAAATTTCACTTCCAGTAGTTCAGTTGTGCTTGCACTGCAGGCAAATGTTCTGGCAGCCGAGGAGGAAGAGGAGGAGGAAGACTTTGAAATACAGCCTCGGCTCTCCTCTAGCCTCTGTGATGCCTCGGGGAAGAAGCCATGCCTCAGAAATGATACTAGCTATTGATTACAACCAAGTTTAATTTTCTGTTTTGGAACTTCAGACTGTTCCCTAATTGTCAACAGACTGACTGCACAGAGTAATTGGTCAGTAGTGTTCATTGGGCACCTCTTACGGGTCCAGCATGGTGCTAGATATTATGAGAGATTCAAAAGATTCATAATCCCTAGCACTTGTAGAGTGGTTTATGGTTTACAATGTGTTTTTTTTTTTTTTACATAAACCAAAAAACCAAACCCATTGCCATTGAGTGGATTCTGACTCATAGCAATCCTACAGACAGAGTAGAACTGCCCCACAGGGTTTCCAAGGAGCAGCTGGTGGATTCGAACTGCCAACCTTTTGGTTAGCAGCCAAATGCTTAACCAATGCACTACCAGGGCTACTATTTTTTTACATAAGGTGGTGTATATTTTTGTTTCCCAATAATCCTGAGGGGTAAGAATGGATGTTGAAGTTATTTTCCTGGGAAAGGGGGTAAAAGAGTAGGACCTCATCATCATAATAGCTTGAATTTATCAAGCAGATTAAACATAAACAAACAAAAAAGCTGCCATGGAGGCAACTCCAACTCATAGCAGCCCTGTGTGTGTCAGAGTAGAACTATGCTCCATAGCGTTTTCAACAGCTGATTTGTTGGAAGTAGATCTCCAAGCCTTTCTTCTGAGGTGCCTCTGGGTGGACTCAAACTTCCACCATTTTGGTCAGCAGCCAAATGTGTTAACCATTTGCACCACCCAGGGACTCCTATTGAGCACACACTAGACTGGTTATATGAATTCTCACATTTACTTCTCATAACCACCTTATGACGGAGATACTATTATTATCTCTGGTTTGCAGATGAGGAAATCGAGGCTTAGAGAGGCTAAATAATTTGCCAAGGTCATGTAGGTAGGATGTGGCACAGCAAAGGTCCAAGCAGGCTGATGCCAAGCCTATATTCTTCAAAATCACTATGCTGTGCTGCCTGGGGCCCCTCTGTTTTGACACTTGATCCTGTTCCTCTCTCAGGGAGAGACATTCAACAAGTACTAAGAGCCTATATCAATGTGGAAATTGTTGAGTTGGTGAAGGTTTTGTTGAATATATTTTCACTGCAATTAAAAAAAAAAAAAAAAGAGCTTCCTATGTGTCAGGGTGGAAGCCCTGGTGGCGTAGTGGTTAAGAGCTACGGCTGCTAACCAAAAGGTCGGTAGTTTGAGTCCACCAGGCGCTCCTTGGGAACTCTGTGGCATAGCTGTACTCTGTCCTCAGGGTCGCTATGAGTGGGACTCAACTCAGCGGCAACAGGTGTTTTTCTTTTATTTTTTATGCATCAGAAACAGCTGTGGACAATAGGGATGCACTCGTTCATTCATTCGGCAAATATTTCCAGAGTGTTCACTATGTCCCAGGTAACGTTTATGCTTGGGGTACGTCAGTGAACAAACAAAACTCTCTGCACCCCTAGAGTTTATTTTCTCCTAGGGAAGGAAGACAATGAACAAGATATACTTAAAGAAATATTATGGTTAAAAAAAGAAATAGATAATAATATGGTATATTAGAAAGTGATGCTATGGAAGAAAGAAAACTTTGAGCACAGTTAAGAGGATCAGGAGTGCTGGAATGAGGGTAGAGGATAGGAAAAAGTGCTAAATAAGGTGGTCAGGGTAGGTCTCATTGGAGAATGTGACATTTGAGCAAAAAATTGAAGAAAGTCAAGGAAGTAGCCATGCCCTTACGTAGGAAGGAGTTCCTGGGTGGTGCGAACAGTTAATGTACTCAGCTGCTAACTGGAAGGTTGGAGGTTTGAGTCCCCCAAGAGGCTCCTTGGAAGAAAGGTCTGGTGATCTACTTCCGAAAAATCAACCATGGAAAACCCTGTGGAGTACAGTTCTACTTTGATACTCAAGAGGTTGCCATGAGTTGAAGTCGACTCGACAGCAACTGGTTTTTATGTAGGGAAGAGCATTCCCGGCAGAAGGAACAGGCAATGCCTGGCATGTTTATAGAAGAGCAAGAAGGCCGTGGGGCGGGAACGGTGGGTGAGGTGGACTAACGGGCAGTGGTCACAGGGTAACAGGAAGCCAGGTCAGGGAGGGCCTTGTGGGCCACTGTAAAGACTGACTTTCATTCAAAGTGAGATGGAGAGGCCTGGCAGGGCTCTGAGCAGAGGAACAATGGCATATTCTGACTCCTATTTTTAAAGGATCTCTCTGGCTGCTGTTTTGAGAATGGACTGAAGGGGGCGAGGGTGGAAGCAGAGGATGAGTCAGGAGTCCACTGCAGAAATCCAGACAGGAGAAAATGGTGGCTCAGACCAGGGAGTTGGTGAAAGGTGGTCTGATTCTACATGAATTTCAAAGAGAGAGCCACACTGCAGGTCTACCAAATCGTTGGTCTAACTGAAATAATTTTGTGCTGGGGAACATAAAGCTGTTTTCAACTGAGGAGCAGACCGTAGGAACTCATGAATAGTGATTTAAAATACTGAAAAATCATGCCAGCTAGGAATGAACTATACTTAGAACAACCCAACAGAAAGCATGGCAATTATAAAACTAGAAAACATAATAAATTCCTTGTTTTTAATCCTTAGCTCATTAAGTTCAAGGTATTCGTGCAAATAAAACAAGCGTCACTGGCAAAATCACATCGTTTTATGACTTTGCCCTTGTGATTCTGCTATGAGTACAGTCCATAGAAAGAGTAACAGTAGGAACCATTGCTTCTTTGTTTTCCAAGCTGCATTCTGTCTTAAATCAGTGGGAAATGCAAATAAAAGGAGAAAAGAGAGCAAAAGAGTACACGGATTATTTGTTCCTGGTCTGTATGTTTTGGATCTGTATGACTAGAGACACTTTGTGATTATGAAAATTCAAGGGAGACTGGCTTTTTTTCTTATAGATTTTATCTATAAGATGTTAATTCAGAAGACAAAAGTGGCCAGATGAATTTGACTTACATCCCTGTCTCATGAGAGGAAGAGGAGTTGAACCTAGTGAGGAAGACAATTGCCCGTGGCTTGGTGGTTTTTATCCTCTGTATATGACAAAGGAAGGGTTTTGCTGGTTAAATTGATTCGGTCATGATTTGCTCTTTCATCATATGGGTGAGTGGGGTGGGGGTGAGCATTAATAATATTTATTGATTGACACCTACATGCCAGCACTCTGGGACTTATCTTATTCACTTTTGCTTCCCCAGCAAAGCTCCTGCCCTCAGGGAGTTTACAGTCTTTTAATTCAGCCTGACGCTGGTCTTTACTGAGGTGCACATCATCTTTAATGTTTGGAGCTGAATGAAGATCTTGTTCTCTGCTCAGATATAGGCTTAATGGTCTGATACCAAGGGGACTTCTCAGTGGAGCTCACTCTTAAAAGTGGACTCTGATATTTGATGAAGTTCTGAGCATCAGGACCTTGCTTAGAAGATCTATACGCTCCCGCTTGCCCGGTGGCAGATTGCGCAGCTGATATCAGATTGCTGGTTGAGAACGCATATGATGCAAGTTTCCTGTGAGGAGACTACTGTGGATAAATGTCTAAGCTTCTTCTCCTCAAAACATGTTTTAAAAACTGGAGACAGTCTTATTAATCAGGAGCACTATTTCTGGATGTCCTAATAGCTAAAAGATAAGAAAATAAGTAGTATAAATATTAGAAAGGGGAAAACAACATTATCACTATTTGCGAGAATTGTTAGAAATAATAAAAGGTCAACATGGAACCATTGCTAGAAATCACATAATAAGTCTGTGAGGAAAACTCAGAGAGGGATCATTCCCGGCTGGGCAGGGCCTCAGAAAGTCAACTTGCTCACTTAAGGCAAGCCACTTATTCTTATATTGAACTTTTTCCAAATCCAAAGATGAGATCAGGAGAAAGAGAAAGGTTTGTGAACCCCACTTACAATCATAAAAACGGAGGGCCGAAAGTTATGGCTTCCTTATTTTTTAGCCATCTCTAATAGGAGCTCTGGTGGTGCAGTGGTTAAGAGCTGGGCTGCTAACCAAAAGGTCAGCAGTTCAAATCCACCAGCTGCTCCTTGGAAATGCTATGGGGCAGTTCTACTCTGTTGGAACCCACTCGATGGCATCTAACAAGAACAACAACAAACGAAGTCAGCAACTTATAGACCAAGAACCACTGCTATGAGAAACTTGGAAATATTGTCCTATTTCCTACATTTAAAAAAAAATCCATGCTGATTCCCTGCACCCCTTCCTCTACTACTACTGCTGCTGCTACTTTACTACTTCTATTACTATACACACACAGAGATTAATGATAAATCTTAAAAAGAGCCTCTGGAAAAAGGCCTGGCATTCTGCTTCCAAAAAATCAGCCATTGAAAACCCTGTGGAGCACATTTCCACTCTGACACACATGGGAAGAAAAGGCCAGTGACCTACTTCTGAAAAATCAGCCACCGAAAACCGTACAGAACACACAGTTCTACTCTGACAGACATGGGTCGCCATGAATTGGAATCCACTTGATGGCAACTGGCTTAGTTTTTGGTTTATTTTGCACAATAAGTAAAGCCATGACAACCCTGTGCAAAACATCTGAATCACTGAATAAATGGAGGCTACTGTGGGAAAAAAAACCAAACAACAGCCTACCAGTCTGTTTTCAGGAGCAATGACAATGAGATCACTGTCGTATTCTACCATCAGATTTGAGAAACCCCAAAGGATACAGTAGATGGTAGCAGTGACTGACGTTGTCACTAGGCTGGATTTGAGGAAACAGTGCTATGTGGAAGAATGTACTTGAAACTCCCCTTGGAGGTAGGAGACAGGTCAAGTACACGAGAGTGGCTAGGGTAGGCAGGGATGATAGCCTGACACTTTGGAAATCACCTCAAAGAATACTGGAATGATTTTTCTTTTGGTTTCAAACTACCTTCCCCATACTTTTCAGTACATAGATGTTTGTCACTGTGCCTGACTCTAAGAGGATCGTTTCATGAAAGGCACACTTTTTCCTGCTGTTGGCATGGAAACGGCACTGTGCTCATGTGTCAGGAACACACACAAACACACACACACACATACACACACACACAGAGGCATACTGTATTTTAATATATTCTCAGAGAAATGCCTTTTATGCCTTCTCCTTCTGGTGTTCTTTATACTTCTAACGACATATTCAGAGCCAAAATTTTACTAATTCCTACCATCCAATTGTTATCTATCACTTCCTTTATCTTGACATAAAAAAACACTGATTTTAGGTTTTTCTTCAACAAAACCTCTCCTTAAAGTGAGATAATCGATTATTTTCACCTAGCACCAGTTTTTCTCCCACCCTTTAAATTCTCATACTATGGATCTTAATATATTTAGTTTATTCATTAAAGAAAAAGAAATCCTATTTCAGATTCTAGTCAATTTCTTTGATAGGTATAATGATGCATTTTATTTATTCCTTCTTTAAATATTCTCTACTCAAAATATTGTTTTCAACTGGCAAAGCAGTAATCCTTGAGAAGAGTGTTGATGAATCACAAGTTCATGTGATATGAGACGACAGTTGCTTCCTCAGTCTTCAATGTATGTTGCTGTTAGCTGCTGTCAGTCAGCTCTGACTCACGGCAATCCCATGTGTGCAGAGCAGAACTGCACCATAAGGTTTTCAGGGCTGTGACCTTTCGGAAGCTAATCACCAGGACTTCCTTCCTAGGTGCCTGTGGGTGGATATGAACCACCAGGTTTTGGGCTAATAGTCAAGTGCTTAACCATTCGTGCCACCCAGGGTCTCCTTTTCGATATATATAAACTTGAAAAGAAACCAGAGGAAATCTGATGCAGAGAAATAATTTATTTCAACAAGCACCATGTCTTGAGCACCTACTATGTGATGTATGTGACCCAGTTCCCCTGGAGAGATTATTCCGACTGTGTGGAGAATCTCACATCAACAGTTAGGCTGTGGGTACAGCATGGTGCCTGAGGAAGAACCTTGTACTGAATGTCAGGAAACTGGCTTCGGATTTTACCACCACCAGCTGTGGGCTTTCACGTGAACTGAACAGGGCTGCAGAATCCTAACCTGTAAAATTAGCAGCTCAGACTAGACTATGCCCCTGGTCCCTTCAGGTCCAAAACGCTGTGTCTGAAATCTAGTTAAGGAACCAGGCCTGACGGGAGTTGTCTTGGTTTCCTAGAGCTGCTGTTATAAAACATTACAAATTGGATCACTTATAAGAACAGAAATTTATAGAGTAACAGTTCTGGGGGCTAGAAGTCCACATTAGGGTATCGGCCATGTTGACTCCTTCTGAGGACTCTGACAGAGAAAATTGTTTCATGCCTGTCCCATAGCTTCTGGTGGCTCCCGGTAATCCCTGGCATTCCTTGGTTTGCAGTTGCGTCTGCATCTGTGGTCACATGGCTAATCTTTCTGTATCTAACTTTCCAGGTCTGTTCTTCTCTCTTGAAGGTCCCTGGGTGGAAACCCTGGTGGCGTAGTGGTTGCGAGCTAAGGCTGCTAACCAAAAGGTTGGCAGTTTAAATCCACCAGGCATTCCTTGGAAACTCTATGGGGGCAGCTCTACTCTGCCCTATAGGGTTGCTATGAGTCGGAATCAACTCAACAGCAATGGGTTGGGCTGGGTTTGGTTTGGGTGGCACAAAGTTTGGCGGTTTGAACCACCGTGGTGCTGTGGAAGAAAGGCCTGGTGATCTGCTTCTGTAAAGACTGCAGCCAAGAAAACCCTATGGAGCAGTTCTACTCTGTAATACTAGAAGGCAAGGGGTTTGGTTTTTTTTTTTTCTTTTCCTTTATAAGACACCATTTGGATGAGATTAGGACTCACTCTACACCATTTTAAAAGATTCTATTTCCAAACAAGGTCATGTTCAATGGGTACCAGGGTTAGGACTTCAACATATCTTTTTTGGAGGATACAATTCAATCTACAACAGAAGTGTACGGCTGATTAAGCAGTTTTAGGCCCACAGTCCAGTGGGTGCCTCAATCATGACATCTAGGTGAGGCCTGGTCCCCTATCAGTCTTCCTGGCCCTGTGGTACCAGTCTGTACCCACTGCCTTAGCCCACTGAATGAGATGGAACTCCACATGAGTTTCCCCTGTACACCTTACCTTCTCCTTCTGCCTTCATTAAATCTGCCTGTCCTTTGTCACTCCCCCACTGAGGCCAGCCAACATGACAAATTCACTCATGCCAAGTTATCCAGGGGCTGCATTTGTTATATCCAAGGCAATATTCTTTAAGCGTAAAGTTATTTTGTGGAGATAACAGACCCTGGTGAAGTCTCCAATTCATTTCCTACAACTTTCCCTCTCACACTGTTTGCTTCAGCCTCAAGGGCAATTCCTGGAACTTGTGGGCTCTTAACTGCCCCAGGCCTCTGCCCAGTGCAGCTGCCTCTGCCCAGAAAGGCTCTTCCTCCATCCGCACTCAGTTAACTCCTTCTGGCCCTACAGTCTCAGCTGAGGAGTCCCTGCCCCCAGTTCAGCCCTCTGTTATTCTCTTTTCCTGCACAGATCTTAACCATGGTGTGTAATTTGTATATGTTTGTTTAATGTCCATGTCTCCCAGGAGATTATCAGCTCCACAGGGCATTGTGGCACTGTACGCCCGGTGCCTGGCACTCAGCAGGGGCTCAATTAAGAACTGTTGAATAAATGCAAAGACCAAGATGGGAATGAAAGTACTGTCTTCACCCAGAGAAGGCAGGGGTGGGAATTTCAGGCCCTGGCACATGCCGATGGGGGGAGACGTTTTTGAACACGGAAGACTTGTCTCACATCTCTACCCGCAGTGGTCACCTCACTCTTGAAGACAGACACCGACGGCAGAAGAAAAATCATCTCTCCCAAATGTACCAGCTTAGCTCACAGCTATTTGTCAACAGTAAGGCGTTGGCTCCCTATGAAATCTTTCTTCACATAAATTTGAAGCATTTTCCTTTGCATTTGGACAAATACATTGGCAACAGCAGCCTTTTGTATACGCAGCACAAAGGAATAAATGTTAGATTGAGATAGAAAAGCTAGACTTGCTCCCATCTCAAAACGAATCTTCGGCAGAACAGGGACCAGAATCCAGTTTTTGCTGGTCAAGTCACTTCCTCTCTGGGCCTCAGTTTCCTCCTCTGTAGATGTAACTACCCCTTCTTCCACTCCACTCCTTATTATACCCGGGAACTTTTTGATTTAAATACAACTTTTCTGCTGTCAATAATGCTCAAATCTCTCACATGTAAAAAAAGAAATACTGACGTGTGTCCACCCAGTTGTCCTCGAGTCAATTCCGACTCATGATGACCCCATGTGTGCAGAATAGGACTGCTCCATTAGGTTTTCAAGGCTATGACCTTTCAGAAGCAGGCTGCCAGACTTCTCTTCCAAAGAGCCTCCGGGTGAGTTCGAACCGCCAAACTTTGGGTTAGTAGCTGTGCGCTTAACTGTTTGTCCCACCCAGGGACTGACTCCTAGAAGTGTATCAAAAATTTATTAATACAAATATTATACTTTTTGGATTTTATGATATTTGTTATTTTGTCAACCTTTAAAAATTTGTTACATTCTTTAGTGAGTCATTGGTGGGTAACTGGTAGAATTCTTACCTTCCATGCAGGAGACTCGGGTTTGATTCTTGGCCAATGCACCTCACACAGCCACCACCCATCTGTCAGTGGAGGCTTTCGTGTTGCTGTGATGCTGAACAGGTTTCAGCGCAGCTTCCAGACAAAGATGGGCTAGGAAGAAAGGTCTGGTGAACCACTTGCAAAAAATCAATCAATGAAAGCCCTATGGATCACAACGAACCGATGTGCAACTCACCATGGGGGTAGCGCAGGACAGGGCAGTGTTTCGTTCTGTTGTGCATGCAGTTGCCATGAGTCTGGGGCCAACTCAGTGGCAGCTAACAATATTCTCTAAATAAATATACACATTTATATCTTTAAAAAAGCCTTCATATGTGGACTTTTCTTTAAATAATTGGCTCATAGAGTATACATTTTCCTAGGAATTAACAAAAGGCATTAATGCCATTTTTGCTGTCTGGATCGATGCTGGCAGACGTACAGTTGCCCTACTTGGTAGTTGAATGGACAGGTGACTGGGTGGATCACCCTCAAATCTTTGAACACTGGACCCAGCTTTAAAGTATGATTTTTCATCCTGCTTTCACCACTAAATCAATGTAAGTAAGCCCCCCCAAAATCATTTAACCCCTTTATGTCTTAGTTTTTTTTTTGTGTGCAATGAAACAGTACTTGTCTCTACTTATTTCCAAGGAGTGTGGCAAAGGGCTGCTGGAACCAGCCGATGTTGCCAGGCCTGTTCTACAGAGATGTCTGCCCTCAGGGCGGCGCACAGGGCAGACCTACCCTGGGTTTGCAGCACCCTTTTACTGGGTCCCACAGGAGGCTTTTACAGTGAGGCATGGACTCATGGTGTTCTGTAGCCTGAGAAGACAGACTTGGTGTTAACTTCTATAACAGTGGCTTTCCAAAGGACTGATTCCAATCTAGTCTGATCTGTAGCCAATGAGAAAAATAAGGACAACTGTGGTTTGTGTGTGTGTGTGCCTATTGTTGCCAGCTGTTTTTTTCTTCTGAGATAACTTCGTTCCTATTTTATGTGTTAAACTGGTTTTATTTTAATAAAATGAAGGCAATAGTATATGTTAGTTATTTTAAAATGTTCCTTATGTAACGAAATATAAAATGTCTCCTTCAAAATTCTTTCTATATTTTTAAATTTTCCTTGTCTATATAATTCCAAAGTCTTCTTGGAAACACTGTGCTGAAGGACAACCCTGCTATTTCTTCTTAGATATTCTGTGACTTGGCTTTGTCAGTCAATGATTAACTTTCTTTGGCTAGCAGAGATAAAGCTAAGCTTTGGAAATTTACCTCACTTTTTAAGTGAAAGGGCACTAACATCTAGCAAACACATACTGTGTGCCAGGAACTGCTTTCAAATACACTATTATATTAAATCTTCTCAATAACTCTATGGGGTAGGAGGAACCTGAACCTCGGAGAAGTCAAGTCACTTGACCATGTTCCTCTAGTTTTTACAGTGAAGTCTGGATCTGAACTCAATTTGTCTGAGGCCAAAGTCCACACGCTTTTAACCTCACTACCCTAATTCCCAAAATAAAAGTGCAAGACACACTGTTTTAATCTGGGATATACTTTTGGTGTCAATTGAAGGCCATTTGAGAAATTGCATTTTAACCCTGACAACTACAATGAAAGCATCAAAGCCTGTAGGGACACAGGAACTCACTGTTAATAGAGACAATGTTGGATTGACCAGGACTAGTTAATCCATGACACCCAGGGCTTTCTTCCTGTCTTTTGAGTTTGTGGGAGAGTCTGAAGGGATCCCAAGGCCAGCAACCAAGTAAGATCAAATGCCTGAGTCACACTGTGGTCCTGAGTGCATACCAGAGCTAAGTGTAAAATGGTTTGTATTATCTCTTCTTTGGTATCACCTACCCCTGATTCTCCCTCTATCCATAGGAATAATCGATGTTGATGGGTTAACTGACATAGAAACAAGTCATTTGTCCTCCAGGGCTATTACCAGCAATTGGCCTTATATTCAGTGATACATGGGCCAGTGCTTACTTTTGTATCTGATAATTTGCTTTATTTGTGATTATATTCTAGTCTGAAAATGACAAAGAAAGGTTAATGTTAAGAAATCAGTTCAAGGGAAGGCCAAGTCTTGGGGCAGAATGACCAAAAGCCCCAAAGCCTCAGGTTGCAAACCTTAGTTAAAAATGTAGAGTCCTGACCCTCCTGTCTATAAGTTTGTACTCAGTAGGTCTGGGGTGGGGTCTTGGAATCAGCATTTTAACAAACAAACCAGAGGATTCAGAGGAGGCAAAAGAGTCAAGGAGCACCCATTAGGAAACAGTTCTAAGATATTCACATTTCATTCATGGGGATATAATAACTCACTTGCTAGATGGAGGCTTTTCCTTTATTATTTTTCTTTTCAGCTGACAGAGATGAAGGACAGCCCTTTTTGACCCTACGTGCTGGAAGGGAATCACACAAGCCTCCAAATGACCACTCATTTTCTGGGTATGTTTCAATACTAAAAATGGGCCAAAGAGAAGAATCCTTAGCTGTGGATAATTCTGGAGGGTTCAGGTGGGGGAGGAGTGATAACCAAGGAATCCTAATGATCCAAGAGAGACTGCCTTTGTTTGTATCCTTCCTAAGGGCAAGGAATGTGCCGGGGGCTAAAAGCACAAAGGCCATAAATCTGGACTGAGCAGTAACAAATTCAAAAGTCCTTTGGAGTTTCCAGACAGTTCCGTTTTCATCAAGTATATAAGTCAGCGTATCTTTCAAACTCTGCCCGAAAGTGCCAACTCTCTAGCTGGCTGCCATGCTTCTCCAAGGTAATGTGCACCATGTGCAGGGCTGTTTTCATGATTGTTGATACAGAGCAGCCATTCTGGTTGATCAGCACCTGGGCCGAACTGAATTATGTCAGTGCCTCTTGGGCAAATTTTATCTGTGAGGTTTTTTTGGACTATAGAGCATCACTGAGAGTGCATAAAGGGTGCCTTGAGAAAGCAGAGCTGGGACCTGAGGCAAGGTGGCAGGAGGAAGAGCAGGGAATATGGCTAAAAATACTCAGTGTGGGATCCCATACTACTTGGGGAAACTAGGTCAGGGCTGGCAAAGTTTCTCTAGAGTCAAATGTGAAGGATGGGTAGTGGCTCCCTGGAGCCCTGAGCTCAAAACAGATTCTGATGTCCTACACAGTCTCAGCAGTGATCATGTACAATGATTGATTACTGATGTCTGGTAAGGGCTCAAGAAGGGGTGTGTGTGACATGATTATCAGCCCTCCTGTAGGTGACATGGGCTAAATTTTGAACTCTCTGGCCTTTTTTTTTTTTTTTCATTATTTTATTTTTTGTTTTTGTTGTTGAGAATATACACAGTAGAACATATTCAACAATTTCTACATGTACAATTCAGTGACATTGATTACATTCTTCGAGTTGTGCGACCATTCTCACCCTCCTTTTCCGAATTGTTCTTCCCCATTAACATAAACTCACTGCCTTCTAAATTTCCGATTTAAACTTTCGAGTTGCTGTTGTCAATTTCATCCCATATAGATAGTTCGTAAAAGAGCACAATGCTCAAGGCAGATATTCTTAGGTAAGCTACTGTTTGGTTTTAAGAAGAGTTCAAGGGATGTTCTTGGTTTAAGGTTTAAAGATTTTCTCAGGGCAATAGTTCTGGGGGTCCATCCAGCCTCCTTGGCTCCAGAAAGCCTGGAGTCCATGGGAATTTGAAATTCTGTTCTGCATTTTCTCCCTTTTGATCAGGATTTTTCCATAGAATCTTTTTTTTTTTTAACATTTTATTGTGATTTAAGTGATAGTTTACAGAGCAAATTATTTTCCCATTCAACAACTTATACACAGCTTGTTTCATAACATTGGTTGCTATCCCCTCGATGTGTCAGCACTCTCCCCACTTCCTCCCTGGGGTCCCCATTTTCATTTGCTCAGCTTTACTCTTTGGCCTTTTGCTGATCTCTTCTTTCAGAAACACTTACCAGCTTTTGTTTTTCTCTTCATGAATATACATGGCTATCTACATGCTGCTCAAATAAGAGATTTATAGAAGTTTAGGCAGAATCTCTCAGAGATATCTGGGTTGATGAGCAGTAAATGCCACTCAACATATGTCTCTAAAAACTATGAACAGGGAAATCCCTAAAAGTTGGCTTTCCGTGCGTAGTCACTTATTCTCTTTGCAACAGATGTCCAACACATTGTGTTCTCCCATGCCTTGGAACCAAATGTCACCCTCAAATCCCCTGGAGTGGATCATGACTATGGCAGAATTTATGGCATCTGTCACTGGGCTCCACACAAAGACATGGTAGATTAATATGAATTATGACTATGTAATCACCAACACTTTCAGTCATCACTGAGCTCTCTGGAAACATCTGCACCACTTGATGGTATTATGTTCCCAGCTGTTTCCTAATGAATGGATGGGACATGGTGCTTCCTTATTTGCTTCCTTATTGTTCTACTCCCTGGCTTTTTGCCATTTTTATAAAAATAAAGTTTCCTTAAATATTTAGTAATCTTGTCTTCAGAGAGATCCTCCTGTATAAGTTTCCAAAGGCTGCCATAACAAATTACCACAAAGTGGGTGGCTTAAAACAACAGAAATTTATTCTAGAAGTCTGAATTCAGGGTGTCAGCAGGGCCATGCTCTCTCCAAAGCCTCTAGAGGAGGATCCGTTCTTATCACTTCCAGCTTCTGGTAGCCCCAGGCATACCTTGACTTGTGGCAAGCATAACTCCAATCTCTGCCTTGCCTCTTTTGTCACATGGCATTCTTCCGTGTGGGTCTCTGTGTCTCTTCTTTTTTTTTTTTTAATTGTGCTTTAAGTGAAAGTTTACAGTTCAAGTTAGTTTCCCATACAAAAAGTTATACACACAGTTATGTGACCCTAGTTGTTCTCGCTATAATGTGACAGCACACTCCTACTTTCTACCCCGGATTTCCCGTATTCATTCAGCCAGCTCCTATCCCCTTTTGCCTTCTCATCTTGCCTCCGGACAGGAGCTGCCCATCTAGTCTCACGTATCTACTTGAGCTAAGAAGCACTCTCTTCACGAGTATTATTTTATGTCTTATAGTCCAGTCTAATCTTTGTTTGAGGAGTTGGCCTCAGGAATGGTTTTAGTTTTGGGCTAACAGAGAGTTCAGGGGCCAATCTTCCTGGGGGTCCCTCCAGTCTCAGACCATTAAGTCTGGTCTTTTTACTAGAATTTGAGTTCTCCACCCCACTTTTCTCCTGCTCCGTCAGGGACTCTCTGCTGTGTTCCCTGTCACGGTGGTCATTGGTGGTAGCCAGGCACCATCTAGTTCTTCTGGTCTCAGGCTGATGGAGTCTTTGATTTATGTGGCCTTTTCTGTCTCCTGGGCTAATATTTTCCTGTGTCTTTGGTGTTCTTCATTTTCCTTTCCTCCAGGTGGGTTGGGACCAATCGATGTATCTTAGATGGCCACTCGCTAGCTTTTAAGACCTGAGACACAACTCACCAAAATGGGATGCAGAACATGTTCTTAATAAACTTTGTTATGCCAATTGACCTAGATGTCCCCTGAAACCATGGTCCCCAGACCCCTGCCCCTGCTACTCTGTCCCTTGAAGTGTTTGGTTGTATTCAGGAAACTTCTTAGCTTTTGGTTTAGTCCAGTTGTGCTGACTTCCCCTGTATGGTGTGTTGTCCTTCCTTTCATCTAAGATAATTGTTATCTACTATCTAGTTAGTGAATACCCCTCTCCCTCCCACCCTACCCTTGTAACCATCAAAGAATGTTTTCTTCTGTGTTTAAACCTTTTCTTGAGTTCTAATAATAGTAGTCTTATACAATATTTGTCCTTTTGCCACTGTCTATGTCTCTTCTTACGGAAACACAGTCATAAAGAGATTAGGACCCACCCTAATGACCTCATCTTACCTAATTACATCTGCAATGATCTTATTTCCAAATAAGGTCACATTCACAGGTATGGGAGGTTTAGACTGAAGATAACCTCTTGGGGGACACAGTTCAACTCATAACACTTCCTTTTCATAAAAAAACCAAACCTGTTATCATTGAGTGGATTGTGACTCATGGTGATCCCATGTGTGTCAGAGCAGAACTGTGCTCCACAGGGTTTCAATAGCTATGATCTTTCAAAAATAGATCACCAGGCTTTCTTCCAAGGTGGCTATAGGTGGATTCAAACCGCCAACCTTTTAATTAGTAGCCGAACACTTAACCATTTGCACCAACCATGGGTTCAACTTGAGCATATCTTCATTCCTTGCAACTTCACCCCCCACCCCACACACACACTAAGTCCAACTAACCAAGATATACTAAGATTTCAAGTATATAAAGAAAAATTCATGGAAAGATAACTGGTAAGATATATGTCAAAATATTTCCAGTAGTTGCCTCTGAGTGGTGGAATTTTAGGTGATTTTACTTACACCTTTATACTTATTGTATAATATTTGTAAAAGACTAAAAAGCACTAAAAAAAAAAATTTTTTAAATGAAGGTTCATCATAGCAGAGAAAGACCGCCCTACAGATAAAACCAAAAACCAAACCTGTTGCTGTCCAGTCAATTCCAACTCATAGTGACCCTATAGTACAGAGTAGAACTGCCCCATAGGGTTTTTGAGGAGTGGCTGGTGGATTCGAATTGCCAACCTTTTGGTTAGCAGCTGAGCTCTTAACCACTGTGCCACCAGGGCTCCTGTTCTTAGATTGTTGTTGTTGCTGTGTGCTGTAGAGTTGATTCCAACTCATAGCGACCCTGCAGGTAGGCATATCAAATTATGACTGGTGACTTGGAACTGGCTCTCAAAATGGCTCTAACAGTTTCTAGTTCCTTTCTAAACTTCATTTAAAAAAAAAAATCATCCCAGCTTGGTGCCAATTATTTGCAAGAGCTGGGGTTTTTTTTGTTTGTTTGTTTTGGATATTTTCATGTCTAATAATGAGCCTACAATTTGGAGTTCAAGGTACTTGGATCAGGCCCTCCTGTCTGAACTGCCTCTCTTGTTTTTCACCATCCTTAGGTAAGCAGCCTCTCAGAAAGAGGACAGTTGCCTTGGGGTGGGCAATCAGGCTTGCTGGATTTCCCCATGCTCTGCTGTTTATCGTAGAGAATGGTGACATCCCCCAGCACTAAAGTCTTCATAGGCTGATGTCTCAGTATTGGTTCCAATCCATTGGAGTTAACTCATTTTGTTACTTCTGCTTTCCAGTGACTGCCAGCCATATTAAAGGTAGTGATGAAGCAAGTTCAAGCCAAACAGTCCCCATTCCTAGAGATCCCCTGGAGATGCCACCACTGGCTCTCTGCCTTTCACAGTTGCCATGTATGAGGAGAGGACAGGAAATGTCAGTATTGGGCATAGACCCTCAACACGGCGGCAAGTCAAATTGGCTCCCTTAGATTACTGGAGTATTTTCTCTCATATCCTTTATCCCAGTTCTCTTTTCTTCATCTCACCCACCTCTCATTACAACATTCCCATCACTTTCCACCCCAATCACATGTGTAAGCACACACATGTATGTGCATGCACACACACACAACCCCTCTAATACTACCCCATACAGATATGTCCATCAGAAGATCTCTTACTAACCTTCCCCACAGAAAGTTTTGTCTTATCTTCTTACAGCGTGGTTTCCCCCCAT